GGTGAACAGAGGGTCAAGGCCTCAGCCTGGGCAGGCAGCTGGGGACTGTGGAGCAGACAGGGCAGGACTAGAATCCAGAATGTGGCATTCTTTGTGAAAAGGCTTGAAAGACTGCCACAGAGGTGGTGGAAATGATAATGATGCAGATAATGACGATTAGGATGCTGGAGATCAGGGAACTGATATTCAGGCACTTGGCAGTGGAGGCATAGGCCTGGACTCCAATCACATCACCCACCATCTTCCTGTCCCTGGACTTCACAGAGTAGGCATAGGCAATGAAACCCAGGCAGCAAAAGTTCAAGAAGAGTGCGTTGAAGAGGGACCAGACCACATGGTCAGGCACAGAGAGACCTCTCTGGGCATGTTGATCATGGTGGTCCTCACCACAGCTGAGTTGTGGGGTTCCCCCAGCTCAGTCACCCCATACTCCTCTTTGATTGTCTCGTAGCTTGGGGGAAGTCCAGCATTGGTGGGCAAGAAGGCTTGGGAATTATGGCTCATGGTGGTGACTCGAACAGTCGCTCCGTCTGAAGGATGGCTGCTGCTACCCTGGCTCTGTAGGCCCTCCCTTTCTCTCAGAGGTAGGTATTTTTCTAATTTAGAGATAGGGCTGTCTGATCTGCCCAGACTCAGCTGTGGGGCTCTGGGCCAGCAAGATGGCTCAATAGAGGCACTCGCCACCAAACCTGATGACCTGAACTCACTCCCAAAGTTGTCCTCCGACCTCTGCATTTTTAATATGATCACACCCCACATACACAGCAAATAGATAGATAGATAGATAGATAGATAGATAGATAGATAGATAGACAGATAGATAGATAAATGTAAAAAAATTCTTTTAAAGATGACAGGTGCTGTGGGATGTTCTGTATGGCAAATGTGTTGCTGATTGGTCAATAAATAAAACACTGACTGGCCATTGGCCAGGCAGGAAGTATAGGCGGGACAAGGAGGAGAATAAAGCTGGGAAGTGGAAGGCTGAGTCAGAGAGACACTGCCAGCCACCATGGTGACAAGCAGCATGTGAAGATGCCGGTAAGCCACGAGCCATGTGGCAAGGTATAGATTAATGGAAATGGATTAATTTAAGCTGTAAGAACAGTTAGCAAGAAGCCTGCCACAGCCATACAGTTTGTAACCAATATAAGTCTCTGTGTTTACTTGGTCGGGTCTGAGCATCTGTGGGACTGGCGGGTGAGAGAGATTTGTCCTGACCGTGGGCCAGGCAGGAAAACTCTAGCTACAGACAGGGTCTTGGATCTGCCCTTCTGTTTCTGCTTTGGTCCCTAACTCAAGCAATGCCTTCAGCTTTCCTATCTGTCAGGTGGTAACAAGAACGGCATCAAAAGCCAGGCAGTGGTGTGCACACCTTCAATCCCAGTGCTCAGGAGGCACACAGATCTCTGTGAGTTCCAGGCCAGCCTGGTCGACAGAGCGAGTTCCAGGACAACCAGGGCTACACAGAGAAACCCTGTCTCAAAAAAGAAAAGAAAAGAAAAAAGGAGCGGCATCTAGATTATGGATGTTCTCTAGTGTTCAGTTGAGTCAGGCGTGTCTTGGACTAGGCCTGGGCAGAAAAGCCCCTCCTCTTCCAGGTAAGGCACTGCGGGCATGAAGTTGTCCCAGGGGGCCTGTGGGACTACTGAGCACTTAGACTTCACCACTACCCAAAGCATGTTGGGAAAGGGTGCCCTGCAGAAGCTTTCTAGGTGATGATGGTTCCTCCCCTGCTTGCAGCCAGCCCTAGTGATACTTGAAACCGGTGTATGGAACCCTGTGGACTTCTGCCCTCTAAAACATGCTCTCCTGAAGGAGTGGGTGGAAAGTATTTTTAGGTCGTGTTTAGGCTGAGAGAAGTCTGCCCTGAGATTCTGACTGATGTCAACACTTCCCTAAAAAACTACCTCCTCCAGCTTCCAAACAGGGCTTTGGAGCCAAAACCACACCCTAGAGACAGCAAATACCCACACTTCAGAGCACTTGCTGGAGCGATCAGAGCCCAGTTTCAAAGATTTTGGGCTCCCAGGTGAGAAGGAAGGTGTGCTTTCACCTCTGATAACAGGATTATGTGGAGGGACAACTAGAGTCCCACCAGCCAAATTTAAAGATTTTCAGGGCCACTTGATAGGGTGGCTTGACCTTGGGCGAAGTACCCAGAACCTCAAACATAAGGAAGATTGTCTTGTGGGTCAGGGGAATCGGTGGATATTTAAGTAGCACAAACAAATCGAGTAATTATTGAACAATTAGAATGCTTTTTAGGAGAATCTCCCAGGGGCTTGCAAGTCTGTGGTGCCAAAGCCAGGTGGCGCTAAATGGTCACTCATTGACCCTGCTGGACTCTTATGGTAGGTAAGAGAAAGGATTCCAAGGGATGGGATCAGAGACACTGTGAATAGAGAGATAAGAGGATTGGAGTGCGCGCGCACGCGCGCGCGTGTGTGTGTGTGTGTGTGTGTGCCTGTGTGTGTATGCCTGTGTGCGCGCGCGTGTGTGTGTGTGTGTGTGTGTGTGTGTGTGTGTGTCGAGTGTATTTTGCATCCAGAGAGGTGGGGCCTAGATATGGAAGGGGCTATCCACAAGCGGGAGGCGGAGCATAAGGGGACAGGTAGGGTTTCTTTCCCTGAGTGGGCGGTAGTTCTGGGGAGTCTGGAGAAGGGCCTTTTTATTATTATTATTATTATTATTATTATTATTATTATTATTATTATTATATTTCTCCATCTATTTATTTATCTATTTATTTATTGAGGCAGGGTTTCTCTGCCTTTTTATTATTATTATTATTATTATTATTATTATTATTTTATTTCTCCATCTATTGATTGATTGATTGATTGATCGAGTCAGGGTTTCTCTGTGTAATAGCCCTGGCTGTCCTGGAACTCGCTTTTTGGATCAGGCTGGCCTCGAACTCACAGATATTCGTCTGCCTCTACTCCGGAGAGCTGGAGTTAAAGGCCTGTGCCGCCACCGCTTGGTTTGCGAGAAGGCACATGCTTTTTCAATTTTTTTATTTTGTGTGTGTTGTACTGGGGATAGTGGGCCCGTGGAGGTCAACAGGATAAGTTGCGGGAGTCTGTTCTTTCCTTCCACCATATGGGTCCCAGGGATGGAACACAGGCCGTCTGGACTGACAGCAGGAGTCTATCCGTTGAGCCCTATCTTACAGCCGTTAAAGGGCGTCCTTGGGTGGACCCGATTTAAAGGCATTATTAAGAGGCGTGGCTTCTGTGCATCCTTCATAGGGCTGGGCAGAGGATAGGTTCTGTTACCTGGAGGGAGTTCCGCTGGCATGAGCTCTGAAGAAGAGTTCGAGGGCAACTCCGTTCCCTGGAGGGCGGAGTTTGCTTTCGTCTCTTCCGAACAGAGTTTGCATTTCAGCGGGATTTCCTGAAGGGTCCTAGACTTTGTGAAGGGACGAGGCACATAACTGCGTGAGAATGTGCAGATTCTGGGCGGAGTTCATACCTCGGGGAAGAAAGGATTTATAAACTCCTCTTGTTTCCGCTTCTGCCCTGATGTGGAGACACGGCTTGCCGCTTTTGGGCGGGGCCCTGGCGGAGCAGATAGGGCAGAGGGGCCGGCAACAGTTCTGAAGGCATCTTTGAGCTGGCAAGGGGCGAGGCTATGGCTTTGGAGGGCGGGGCCTCTGGAGAGTTTTCTTCCCTCCCAAGGGGTGTGGCTCGTAGATCGGAGGGGCGGGGCTGATAACCAAAGCATCCTCCCCCCGGGAGAGGTGAAGCGCAGCCTGGGAGTTAATGGGCGGAGCCTGGGACTCAGCTTTCGACCGAGGCGGAGCCTGGGTCTGGGCGCAGGCCGGGGCTCTGCCCTGGGAGGCCGTCTGTTTAGGCCCGCACGCAGCTCCGCATCTGGTGCTCATTACTAGATGACAAAGAGCCGGCTCTGGGCCCCCTTCCCTACACCCATCCTCCCGCGGACTGCAGCGCATTTAACTCTTTCTTTCCCTCAGGGTGCTGTCGACCCTCTGCCAGGGGTCACGGGAAGGAGCTTCAGGCCTCTGTCCCAGCAGACGATGTCATTCCATAAGTGATACCTGCATCCCCTCAGACCCAGGCTTTCTGGAAAACCAGGCGACCTCCCTCAATTCCATCCATCAACCACTACCATCCCCCCCGCCCCCTCGACTACGTCTCCGAGGTTAAAGCTGGGAAGGATCTGGCAGGGGCGTCTGGTTTGAGTTAGGGGAACGTGAGAGTGGCTACCCGGGCCATGCGTTCCCTCCGCCCCCTCTGCTAACCCCCACTCCCAGTTGGTCCCCAGCTCCGCACTCGCTAGCTCTCCTGGTCTCCTGAGGTACAGTCCTTGGGCGAGAATGTGGCATAGGGGTTTGGGGTAGGGAAAGGGCGCAGGGCCACCCCTCCGCACCTGCCTGGGTGGGGGTGCGGCTTTGCCCAGCCCTAATTAGAGGCCCCGAGAGGGCTGAGCTGAAAAATTATAGAGGTGGTGGAACCGGCGCCTCGCTCTCCCAGGTCCCATCCCTTCCCCCCAAGGACAATCAACCGAAGATGAGGGGGAGGTTATCCCACACTCGGTGATCATTGACCAGCCAGTTCCTCGGTTCTTAGGACACCAGCCCTAAATATCCTGGGCCTTCGCTCAAGCTAGGGTCAGGGTGGAGAGTAAAGTGTGGCCTCTAATGGGAAAGTCTTGTTTCTAAGTGGGCCCCGGGAACTAGAACTGGGCTTTCTCCATCCCAGCCTCCCGGGCACCTATTTCCACCTCCTCCCCTACTACCTCCTATGAAGGAGGAGTACCTACCACCTAGGGGGGTAGCATCCTTGGGTGACCCTGATTCCCCCCACCCATCTGGGCAGCCTATGACGATGGAAAGAATGTTCAGAAGAAAGTTCAGAAGTGCCAACCACTGGAGACTCCTCTTTCCCCTGAATCTCCAACCCCATCCTACCTGTGACTCCCAAACCCCAGTTGGACTCCAGTTCATCAGAGACCCTTATGTCAAGACCTTCCCCTGATTTTCTTTGCATTTTAATAAAAGAAGAAACAAATGTGAACTTTCTTCCCTGCCAAACCCCCAGATTTCTGGGCTTGCTGTGTGACAGCAAGGCTCAGCCCTCTCTCAGCTTGTTCCACTGAAAATTCTGAAGCACACCTCCTCTTAAAGAATTCTTACCTCACCTAGATAAATGGAAGGAAGCTCCATTTTCCCTCCCACAAGTCCTCCCAGACCCTTCCCTCAGGCATCAGAGGGGGTCAGGAGTTTTGGGTGAGGTTGGCACCCCATTTATTGGAGATGATCCCAGCACCCACCCCTTGAGGTCCTGGAGGAGGCCTTGGTGTGTCCTTTGCCATGAATGCTGGGCCCAAGGAGCAGAACCCCTTCTGTCCAGCTGGGCAGCCCCCATAAGTCCCTGGTGGGGTTTCATCCATGTGTCCAAAGCAAGTCCCGTCCTCCTACCCCACAAGGGGTATCTGGACCCCATCACACACTGGTTCTGCAGGTCTGTACCCCTGTAAGGCTGCCTCTGGGGGGCATGGGTTCTGTTGGGCTCTTGTTCCCAGCTTGTGTGACCCAGCGATAGCAGTCAGTGATGCGCTTGTTGGGAGCATGGGGGCCACAGCGGGTGCAGTACACGATGCCCAGTGCAAGCAGGACCACCAAGAAGACACATGTTGGTACTAGGAGTGCCACCAGCAGCCACCGGTCATCTCTCTGGCTTTGGCCTGCAAGACCCGCCTCTGCCAAGGCTGTTGGTGCTGCTGTAGGGGGCACTGAGGGCAGCCATGGCACCAATTTGGGACTGGGAACTCCTTCCCTTGGGACTAGAGGGGCTCTCGAATAAGGGCGTAAAGAGGTGATAGTTGAGGTCTGGTTAATGGGGCTCTGCGAGGGGAGGGGAGAAGGGAGGGCTGGAGGATGGGTAGCAGCAGGCACAGGGGCTTCGTGGGCAGAGGACCCTGAGTGGCTGGGTAGAGAGGGCTGGGCAGCTGAGACAGAAAGCTGGGGAGCCTGGGTTCTGATGCCTGGAACATCTGGGACCAGGGGGTGTTGATGGGCTTTGGAAGCGGTATCCCCAAGGTCAAGGTTAGGTGGAATTGGAGGCAAATAAGTGACAGTGTGGGTGTCTGGAGACATAGGGGACTGGTGGGGAGGGAATATTTGGGGATACTTGGTTGAGGTAGTGGGGGGCTGGTAAGCAGGAGGCCGTGCTGGGTGAGTGGCTGAGATAATCCCAGGCTTGTAGCCAAAAGGCAGGTCTGGATAATTGGCCTTGATTTTGGGGATTTGGTGATCAGGGAGCACAGCTGGAGGCGTGGCAGGGACCATGGCAGGCGGATGGACAGGCCTCAGAGGGGGATGTGTGGCCGAAATAACAGAGGTCTTGTGGGCAGAAGGTAGTGTGGGTTTCATGGCAGAGATCACCATGGGCCGGGTGGCAGAGACCACTGAGGAGTGGTAGGGGCCCCTGGGGGCACTGAGTGGGGGTGGCCAGGTAGGGTCCAGGTGTAATCTCTGAGGCTCTCCATCCTGTGGGAAATTAGGCCTGTAGGCCAGGCCAAAGTCAGGCGGTTGTGTAGGTGCCATCCACAGGACCCTCTGCTCCTCTGTCCAGGTGCCATCGAAGACCTCCCAGGCCTCCTCTTCATCCTCGCCTTCTTCTTCATCATCCAGCAACTCATCTCTGAGGTCCTGGGAAGCCTGGGCCCCCATGGCTCCTGCAGGGCTGCAACTGATACCATCTGCCTCAAGCTCATGACCTTCACTGCAATAGCATTCAAAGCCACCAACATAGTTGACACACATCTGCTGGCACACTCCAGCAATCTGGCACTCATCCGTGTCCACGCAGCGGTGTGGCTCATCCTCAGCTGGCCGGAAGCCCAGGCGACAGTGGCAGCTGTAGCCTTGTGGCCCACCGGGCTCACACTGCTGCTCACAGGGGGCCTGGGCACAGGGGTCTTCACAACTGTGCCCATCTGCGGCTAGACGAAAGCCTTCGCTGCAGCGGCAGGACACACCACCATCCACCTCTTCCACACACTCGTGTTCGCAGCCCCCATTGTCAGGACCACAGCCAGTCCCTGGGCACAGCGGGCCAGCCTGGGACCAGCCAACGTCACCTGAAGGTTGTTTCACGCACAGCAGGGAGGCTCCCCTGCCAGCCTGGCACTGCACGGCTGCCACGGAGCCAAAGGGTAGCCACTCGAACTCGCTGGAGACCAGGTGGAAGGGCGTGGTGTAGACAGCGGGGCCGGCTTGGCCCACCTCAACCGGCAAGGCAGGGCAGGCACCTTCAAAACCAAACTGGCAGAGGTAGCCATCGACAGCCAGTGTACATGAGCCTTCCAGCCAGCGATGCTCTCCACTGGCCTCAAGGGCGGCACAGCGCTGGGCCGGGCAGGGTCCTTCCGTAGCCGGCTGGGCCCAGTTGGTGAAGGCGGTGTCCTGGTCTCCCGTGGTCCATATGAAGCCCCGCAGTGGGCGCTGAGGCTGGCATTGTCGAGCCTGCCGCTGCAGCCCAATCCACAGCAGCCCGCTGGCCGGTCCGACGCCCACCAGGCTGTCCACACGCCTGGCCTCCTCCGGGGTCCGCGGCGTGGCCAGGTTACCCCCCAACTCCCGGCACGCCCGCCAAGCTTCCAGGAAGGTGCGGCGCCGGGGGAAGAGTGCATAGCAACTGCCCGGGCCGCAGACGGCTCGGGGCTCGGGTGTCCAGGGGGCCTGGCCCAGTGTGGGCACAGCGGCCGCCCAGGCCAGCAGCAGGCGCAGCAGCATCGCGACGCCCCCCGACTGGCCCGGCCCCGGCCCGCCGCTGCTCTTGACAGAGGGAGGGATCAAGGCCTCCGGCGGGAGGGCCGGGGGCGGGCCCTGCGGACTCACGCCTTGTAAGGAGTGGGCTGGGGCGGCTGCCAGCTCCCCTGCTAGCTCCCCGGGGGCTGTTGGAGCAGGAAGCAGTGGGGTGGGGGGTTCTGGGGTGAGAGGCGAAGGGCAGAGGAGGGGAGGAGGTGCAGCTAACTAATGGGCTACCTCAGGCCTTACAGAGCTGAGAGTCAGGGAAGAGGGGAACTGCCTGTCTGAGAGGCATCCCTGGTCAACCCTCTGAAACTTCAGCAGAGGCTGCAGCTGAGGCAGCTGGGGTGAAGTTGTCTTCCTGAGAGACTCAAGGAGGCCCGAACCTGGATTCACCAGTACCAGTACGTGGCTGCACTCCCAGCTCAACGACATGCTCAGGCCAGCCCTTTCCCACCATGTGTATGTGTGCAGACTGCTCTTCCAACTCCTGCCAAGAGCATCCTCTCTGACACCCCTATCTGTCTGTCTGTCTCAGGCGGCTAAACCCTAGCCTCACACACGCAGTCCTCCTGACACGCTATGCCCTTAGGTAGACAGGCAAGGATGATGTGGCGAGCTACACAATCTAACCTATGAAGCTCCTCCCATTCCTGCCAGGCCCTACGTGAGAATCAACTTGATAACCCCCGTGTGGACAACCTCAACCAGACGTGTATTTGATGAGGCCCTTTGCTCAGCTTATTTCACTCGCAAGTTTTCTGGCTCCAGCAAGACCAGCATTAGGGGTTAGGGAGTGAGGAGGAGGCCAAGGGCTGCCCTCCCCTTACCCTGGCTCAGTCAGGGGCCCTGGGAACCTGGACTTAGAGGGGGAGGAGGCAGCCCCCAAACAGGAAATGCCTCGCTGGGCTCCTGCTGCAGGAGGGCAGGGTGCAGGATTCTGGGCTGAGTGGAGGTTGGGCTATACACAGGGTGAGCAGGGCTGCTTCTGAGGGGACCTGTGTAAGGCCATGTATGGGCATGGGGTACACAATGGGATAGGCATGTGTGTGTGTGTGACACAGGCATCACCACTCCCAGGGCCTGCTGCATAGGCTGGCCAGGGTCCTCTTCCCGACATTCCTGGAAGCCTCTGGAGGTTTGTGCACTGGGCCAGGCACCCAGGATGGACCCTGGGAATCTGTCTGAAGGATTGACCCCTGCATTTTCTATTTACTTTTTATTTACTATTGTTATTTTTTCATTATTACTTTTTTGTTTTGTTTTGTTTTTTTGATTTTTTGAGACAAGGTTTCTCTGTGTAGCCCTGGCTGTCCTGGAACTTGCTCTGTAGACCAGGATGGCCTCAAACTCAGAGATCCTACCTCTGCTTTCCAAGTGCTAGGATTAAAGACATGCACCACCACTGCCTGGCTATTTATTTATTTATTTATTTATTTATTTATTTATTTATTATTATTTTTTTTTTTTTGGTTTTTCGAGACAGGGTTTCTCTGTGTAGCTTTGCGCCTTTTCCTGGAACTCACTTGGTAGCCCAGGCTGGCCTTGAACTTACAGAGATCCGCCTGGCTCTGCCTCCCGAGTGCTGGGATTAAAGGCGTGCGCCACCACCGCCTGGCTTATTATTTTTTTAAGAGATGGATTTTGCTATGTTGCCAAGGCTGGCCCCAAACTCCTGGGTTCTGAATAGCTGGTACTGCAGTCACCCAACACCAGCTAATCCTTTTATACTCTTGTTTTTTATTTTGATATTTTGAATTTTATTTTCTGTTTATGAATGTTTTGCTGCATGTATGCATGTGTACCATGTAGAAGCCTGGTGCCCTCAGAAGTCAGAAGAGGGCATCAAATTCCCTGGAACTGGAGTTACAGGTAGTTGTCAACCACCATGTGGGTGCTGGGAACCAAACTTGGGTCCTCTGCAAGAGCAGCCAATGCTCTTAGCTGCTGAGCCTTCTTTCTCGACCCTTGCTTGTGATTTTTGAGGCAAGATCTCATGTAGCCTAGACTGAGCCGAAACTCACTCACTATGTAATCAAGGATGACCTTGAACGCCTGCTCTGCCTAGCTCCTCGTGCCTGGTTTTAACACATTATGCTTTATATTTTTAGCAGATTTTTGAGCCAGCTTGTGTGGCTTAGTGGCAGAGTGATGCCTGGTTGGATTCCTGGCACTAAAGACCTCTTGAGCCATGGATGAGAGAGAAGATTTGTTCTTTGGGGCCCTGCCCTGGTCCCGATGCCATCACTGCTGCCGAGAGAGCTGTGTGAGTTGAAGACTCTCTGAGCCCCCATTGCTCCACCCCACCCAACCCTCACTTTGTTGCTATTTTGTTTGTTTGGGTTCTTGTTTTAAAGACTGGTTCTCACTGTGTAGCTCTGGCTGGCCTGGAACTCATGGAGATCCACTTGCCTCTGCTGAGATTGTGTGTGACACACAAAGGCTCTTTTCTCCTCTCTCTGTTTATTTCACTTTCTCTTCCCTCCCTTCCTTTCTTTTCCTTTCCTCTCTTCCCTTCTGTTGGGCTCAGGTCTCATTGTGCAGCAGGATCAGGCTACGGGTGTGGGCCACCATGCCCAGCTTCCATTTTTTTCCCATCTACAGTATGGGAATCAATGTGTCCAGGCCTTTCAGCTCAGCAGGACTATTGTGTCACAGCACTCCCTATTTGCAAATGTGTTTTGTCAACTGCAGAACACAAGACAAATGTTCAGTAGTCATCTGAGCAAATCTAGATGCCAGTGGGGGCCAAAACTGCTTTCACTCACTACCTCATAGTGCCCAAGTTGGCGCTGCGGACGCAGCTGGTCTGTGAGAACCACTGTTTATACAGCACTCGTCTTATGTGTAAGTCTTATGCTCAAAGCATGCAGGGTTACTCCCCTTCTCAGGAGAGCAAAGTTCATCCTTCCATTGGTGCAGGAGCCAAACCTTGAGCTCATCCTTCACTCCTCTTTCTCCCACACCCCTTGTCCAGGATCTCAGCAAATCCTGTTAGCATCATTTTCAAAACTGCATCAAGAGTGTGACCACTTCACAGCACCACCTTTTCTTCCCGTCCACCCCAGTCATTTTTCTTCATTTCCTGTCTAGAGCCTTGTAATTCTCTTCTCTCTCTCTCTCTCTCTCTCTCTCTCTCTCTCTCTCTCTCTCTCTCCTTCCCCTCTTCTCCCCTCCTTTCCACCCTTCTGGGGATAGCCTTTAAAAAACGAGAGGGCTGGAGAGCTGGTTGAGTGGTTAAGAGCTGTTGCTGCTTTTGCAAAGGGCCGGGGCTTGGTTCCCATCACCCACATGGAGGCTCACAACCATTGGTAACTCCAGTGCCAGGCGATCTGATGCCCCTTCTGACCTCTTCCAGGCACACATGGAGCACACAGTGTATGCAGGAAAAACACTGATATGCATAAAGTAAAATAAAACAACCTTACACACATACACACATCAAAACAAAACAAAACAAAACAAAAAAACCTTGGCTTGTTGCAGCCTCTGCTCACAACCCTCCAGGGCCCATGTCTCACTCAGAGGTAGCCAAAGTCCCTGCCATGTGATCTGTCTCCAAACTGCTCAGTCCTCCCCGTCCCTCTTACTCCCCCCGTCCCTCTGTCTGTCCTAGCCACTCTGTTGTCTGTCTGGCCTTAGACCCACCAGGCAGGTACTGTCATGAGCTTAGGACCTTTGATTCCACATTCTCCCCTCCCTGGAGCATACTTCCTGCAACATCCAAATGCTCTCTCTACCTTTACTTTCTCAGGACTCAGTTGAGTCAGCAGAGACCCTGACCCAAATCCTCGCACAACTCTTCTCTCTCTGGCTCCCTCTACCTCCCACCCCTCACTGATTGCTCTCTGTTGTGGTATATGCTTCATTGTTAACTCTCTTATGACCTGAAATCCAGCCAGAATCCCCCCCAACCCCCTGCCCCGTGGCTGGCATTATGGATACTCGGGGCTAGATAATAGTTACAAGTGGTTTGTTCTGTGCCCTGGCTTTGACCCCAATGTGAATAGCATTCTTACAGTTGGGACAACAAAAATGGATCTCCAGACATTGCCAAATATCACGTGACCAGTGGCGAGCCTCTGTCCTGGGAGGCTGTGAGCTCCATGGCAGTAGACTTAGAGTATACCCTACTGTGCCGCAGAGCCTGGAAAGCTCCAGCCCAGAGACTTGATTAGTAAGAATTTGTTATTAGGGGTGGTAGTACATGCCTGAAATTGATTCAGAAGTGGAGGCAGAAGATTAGAAATCCAAGATGAAGCCTGGTGGTGGTGGTGGTGGTGGTGGTGGTGGTGGTGGTGGTGGTGGAGGCGGCGGCGCATACCTTTAATCCCAGCACTCGGGTGGCAGAGGCAGGTGGATCTCTGAGTTCAAGGGCAGCCTGGTCTACAGAGAGAGTTCCAGGACAGAGAAACCCTGTCTCAGAAAAAGAAAGAAGAGAGAGAGAAAGAAAGAAAGAAAGAAAGAAAGAAAGAAAGAAAGAAAGAAAGAAAGAAAAAGAGAAAGAGAAAAGAAACCTTGTCTCAAAAAAAAAACCCTAAATAAATAAATAAATGAAAAGGTTGTGGTGTTGGGGTCTTGCTGAGTGACTGACTGAACACAGAAAAGTGAAGAACCTGCCATTGGGAAGCTGGATTTACCTGGATCCAAAGCCTACTTACTTGCTCTCCACACTTGCTAGCTACCTTTTGAAGTGGGACATTCCTGGCGGTGTGCTTGTCTTTTTGTAGATGGGGAAATTGAGGCTTTGAGAGTCTTAGAGGGAGTTAGTGGCAGGGCTCAGACTGGACCCCAGGGCTCCTGATTCTCTTTCTGCTTGTCTTCCTGCAGCAGCACCTGTGGTATTTTTCTGAGCAGAGTTTGAGAGGTAGGACACCAGGAAGATGGCCTGGGCAGAAGCCTGAGCTCTGGGGCTAGAGCTCAGACGGGTTTGGAGGATGCAAAGGACCTCCTTGCCTGGCCTGGAGAGGGGGGGGATGGTGAGGAGTAGAGAAAGACTATCAGGCAAGGAGGAGAGGCCTGGTTTGGGAGGCTTTGAAGCTACCCCTGAGAGCTGGAGCTCCACTGTGGATGCCATGGGAACAGTCACGGAGAGGGAACTCCGTGGTTGGTGGATGATGGGTGGAGGGGACCCAAGGCCAGGGACCAGTTAGGAGACTGTTGCAATCATCTGGGAAAGGGAAGGAGCTGGCTGGAGAGCTGGACTACAGGGCGGGCCGGGCTGGGGGAGGCAGCCTCTGGAGGTTCCTTGGGGGCGGTTCTGAGCTTGGTCCAAGGGTGTGGTGAGCCCAGTCATGCTTCGGGCAATGGCCAGTGCTGGGCGTCTGAGAAAAGGCTCTAGGATGTCTGGCAAGTGGGTGGGTCAGATCAGAGGTCAGGAACCCAGTTTCAGTGGGGTGAAGGAAGTAGAAGGAAGGAGGTCAAAGGCCAACTTCCAGATGTCCTAGCTAGGCCTACTTCTAAGTGGAGGGAAGCCAAGGCGGGAGAAGGGGCTGGAGGTGGACAAGGGCTCACCTCTGGCTTCAACAAACATAAAGGTTTGGTGGATCAAAAATAAGAGTTGGAAACATGCTTAGGTGTCCAGCCTTCCTCCAGGTTGGGGTAAGTGGGGTGGAGATTGCCTAAGATCTTTCTTTCCTAGTTCGAATGGGGAATACAGTGAACACCCAAGGATCTGGAGATCGGGAGCTAGAGCGGGGGGTGGGCTTGAGTTTTCTTCTGCTGTTCTGGTCGAGTGTGATTCATATTGATTCACCCACTGTGCAGAGAAGATGCTAACTGATGTGACAAGTCATTAAAGCTCATGTGGGTGGATTTGTGAATGGAAGCATAGGTGAATGATGGATAGATATACAGACACTTGGGAGGATGGCTGGATGCACAGGCAGATGATGGACAGACATACACATGGGTCTGTACGTGGGTGGAAACACAGATAGATGACAGGTACATGGGCTGACACACACGGCTGTATGAATGAACGCACAGAAGCAAGGATGGTAAAGAGGGAGGGAGACTTGGGTGAATGGATGGATGGACAGACCGGTGTATGTATGTATGTAAGTGGACAGGTGGACAGGCAGTAGATTTTTTTTTTTTTTTTTTGGTTTTTTGAGACAGGGTTTCTCTGTGTAGCTTTGGAGCTTGTCCTGGAACTCGCTCTGTAGCCCAGGCTGGCCTCAAACTCACAGAGATCCACCTGCCTCTGCCTCCAGCCCAGGCTAGCCTCAAACTTATTATGTAACCAAGGAGGACCTTGAATTTTGTATCTCTCTGCCTTCACCACCAAGTGCTGGAATTACAGGCATTCACCTGTAATTGGTTTATAAATGGTTTATAAATTGGTTTATAAAT